TATATTGTCTGTGTTAAACTGTGTGACTGTTCTGCCCTTTTGCAAATTTCAAACAATTTAAACATTGCTTAAACAATGCGTCATCTGTTGCTTAGGGTTGGCTAACCTGTTTTTTAAACTGGGAGTCCTGAAATGGATTTCTGTGTTTAAGCAGATTCAAAGTCACCACTGAATCATTGCAAAAGGCCTGCATGGATCTACAGATTGATATTAATTTCTTCGACACTCTGAGAGCACTTTGAGCAGTGAGTGTGTGCTCGTCATAGAAAGATCAACTACAGGATAAAGAGGCACAGTGTTTGCAGATAAAGACAGAGCACAGACTGGCTGCACAGCAATCATGAAAAGCTTAGAAACTTATTGAACATAAAGGGTTGTGAACACTGTTCATAAACCTGCTAATGCAATACTACCCATGTGATTGACAGCAGAACTGACATAACCCAGTTTGATGCTTTCTTCACAGCAAATAAGACAAGTTTCATTTTGATGAAACACGGTGTGCAAATGATGCTTTTAAAGGCAAGAATTTAAAATGAACTAAGCAGAACGCAAACACAGCGGTGCACTCTCACTGGTGGCGTCCAATCTGACTTGCTGTGACAGAGTCAAAGCCTGAGAGAAAAGTCTTTACAACCCTAACACACACCGTCACGCACACACTAGGGCTGGGTATCGTTACTGACTTCTACAATCAACTTGATTTGATCCACGATTCGATCGACTCCATTTGAATCAGGGAAACTTTGCCTCAGACAGAAATATTATAATTCTGATCACTTATCAGTACATATCCATATTTTTATATCTATAAAAAGAAAGCTGACACTGTGAGACTTTATCAAAGATGTGAGTGGCACAGCAGAGGCCTTTGTGTCAAAGTAACTGAAGATAAAACAGAAAAACATGAAGCTGATTTTCGTGTCCTGTCTTCTTATAGCAGATAACCTTAATACTGTGCAGTAGAACAGAAACAGAAAACCATGAATCAACATCTGAATGTTACCTGATGCTGCTGAAGTGACGCAGAGCAAAGGTACAGAGGTTTGATTAGAGACACAGCTGAGAGCTTTGCAATTTTGCATCATTTTAAAAACAGACCAGCAGAAATGAGGCTTTCTTGTTGGAAGTTAAATTTAAAAAGAAAAAAACAGCAGCCGTCAGCGCTGTGCATGTAGACTTGTGCATAATAAGCACGCGAATAATGCAGAAAACAGAGATTTGAGATGGGAAACTGCTCTTGAAGTACACAGAGAGAGAGAGCTGTGCATGACGTGTGATTTGATCGTGCTGGAAGCAAAACAGCAAAAGTCAGAGTGAGTTCATGACGATGTGAAACGAAGCGTGAAGCGTAGTTTGGATCTTCTTTTGCTGTTCAGTCAACTTTGTTTGGAGAGACAAAACTGCAGCTTCAGAATCTGTGAGCTGTCGGCTTTCAGCCCCGATGGCGAGTCCGTGTACGTGGCGCCGTGAGTCAGCCTGTCCGCGCTTTGTGTTTGTGCAGAATCTGTGGACTGCTCTCATTTACTGTTTTAACTGTTTGCTGGTTGTTTAACCCGAGCTTCTGGCAAAATGAATTTATATTTAAAAATCAATTCAGGGCTTTAATGAATTGATATCACATTATTCAAGCTAGAATCGCAAAATCGATACTCAAAACCCACCCCTAGCACACACACTGAATTATAAAATGACTTTTCTCTAGTTCTAGTTTGGCTGATCTAGGGTACTTGTAACTTCTTTTCATATCAAGAAAGAAAGAAAGAGAGAGGTGTCCAGAAGAGAAAAAGAGGGTAAAAGAGGGATGGTAATGCTGACAGTCGTGGGGTCACAGCCGTGTTTTGGGCCGTTTCCCCCTCACTGGAACCATTCACAGTGTAGGGGCTTGCTGCTACAATGCTTGTTAGCTTTCGGTCGCCCTCCTTCCCCAATGACACCACAAAGCTTCGTGTGTGGTTAGCTTACTGGGGGAACGGCGCTGGCGTGGACTGAAGTCTTTTTTACGTTCTGACCCAAATGATGTTTTTAGAATGAGTTGAAGAGGACTTTCACTCATGTCTGAGCAAACTTCCACAAGGAAATGATTAAATCTCCGCGTACGTAACGCAGCAGGATTTGTGGTCGAGGTCCGGACTGTGGCAGCCAAACCAGGTTGGCCCAAATAAATGTCTCCGCTGTTTTTCTTCAAGCTGTGAATGACCGGATGATTGATCAGTTAATGTCCCGTGACGAACCGTGGTGTCCTTCTCTCTCAGAATCTTTTAAAAGAGAGTAAGTAAAATGTATTTATACAGCACTTTTAAATCTGTTACAAAGCGCTTTACAGCGGATAAAAAAACATATCAGAGGGAAGCCAAAAAAAATATTACACGACCCCTAGAGCATGCGCCAAGGCCAGCTTTGAGCCCATGGTAATATATTCTCCTTCACTCAGCTCCTAAGTCCTTGCCTTCTCCTTCAGAGCCTGAACACATTCAGATCAGGCCTTGTAGGCTTGAGAGGCCATTTTTACTATGGTCACTCATGACACTTTCTCACTTCCTGTCCTGTGCAGCCAAAAGAGCCTGCCCACCTGTAGTTTTGGGCGTACATGTTGGATTTGGAGGAGACAATCCGAAAAGGCCTGCAAATTGACCACTGATCTTGGCTCAGGTCCCCCTGGCCACCGCTATGTCCCCACAGCTGTTTGTTCTGCTGTGATTTACTTGGACCGCCCACCTCGCCTGCCTGTACATCTAAGCTGTTTTTCTTCAAGCTTTGAAGTCCACCTCGGGGTGAGCAGAACCATAAGTCTCCTCAGACGCCGTTTCTGGAGGGACATGTTGGAGAAGGACATCAGGCAGTATGTTGCAACATGTGCCACCTATGCCTGAAGCAAACGTAGCACTCGACGAGCGTCAGCCACAAATCTCAATAAAGGGATGGACAAGGCCAGAAATATCCTGGGGATGGAGTTGGACTCTGAGACGGTGATGTTACCTCCCACCCACTGTATGGCGTGCTGGGTAGTCACATCAGCATCAGCAGCATCAGTGAGACATAACCCTTAAAGACGGAGGAAATCAATTCTTGCTCCAGAGAGTATTAGGCCCCATATTAGACAACATCTGGGTCCGGTCTCATCCACGGTAAAATTTATTTTAATTTGAAAATGATCAAATTCATTTTTGATCATTTTCTGTTCTTTGATGCTCGTATCAAGTCTGTGACCCGCTGCTGTTTTTTTCATTTAAGAAATATTGTTAAACTCAGGACTATTGTCTCCAGAGGTGAAATGGAGACGCTCATTTGTGCCTCCATCTCCTCCTGATTAGATTATTGTTTTCTTCTCCTGTCTGTCAAAGTTTTCTTTAAATCATCTTCATGTGGTCCAAAATGCTGCACCAAGGCTTTTAACCCACAGTCGTAAATTCTCTCGTGTCAGTCCATTGTTACAGTTCTTGCACTGGCGTCCGGCTGAGTGCAGCAGAAGCCATATGCATTTAATTTGTATAATATACTAGATTATTTCTAATTGTGCTATTTGTATACATTACATTTATTTTGTTTGTTTTTTTACTTTTTAATACATGTTATTGCTTAATTCAGTTACTTTTCTTACTGTTTTGGAGCAACTGTGACCACGTCATTTCTGCAGGCATTAATAAAGTATTCTGATTCTCACTCAGGTAACCAGAAACCTGGCTGCTCGTAGGTCCATATGAGATGGACTCAGTGATCAGCTGTCAGACTCGGGTCGCTCCCGATGCTGTGCAGTCATGCAGTCATGCAGTCATCCCACTTTTCGTGTCTCAAATCAAGCCGGTGCAGTCCAGCACATCGCGCTCTCTGCGTTTCCAGTTTGCACACTTGGATCCTCATTGGCTAAGCTCTGTTAGGAACCAACTTCCTCTGATGCTGGTCATCCTCACTCACTCTCTGCTTGCCTGCAACATACCTGTCAGTTGCTGCTGCCTTTACCTTTTGGCCTCCTGGAGTACTATGGATCTCACCTGCCTGGCCTCCTATTCGCTACCACGTACCTCCACTCTGGAAAAGGAGCAGACAGGTCGGACATCCTACTCCACTCATTGCATCACTCAGCCACTCACCCTGAGAACCACCCTGCCCTCTTTCCTCGCTTCGTCCTGCAAACCAGTAAGCCAACCTTCTTCACTCACCTTCACGCTCTGTGAATAACACATCTCTCTCTCTCTGCTGCAGTAGCTCTCGCTCACTTTGACCTTAGTGATCCCAGTGGTAAATAAAGTTTTTAAACAAATGAAACGTCAACTTTCAGGTCCAACCAGTACACAGCAGCTGCTCGGCCTTGACTGACTGACAGACAGAGCTCAAAGAGCAGTGGAGGAAAACAGTGACAATAGAGGCAGCAGCAGGTGTGTTTGTGTGAGGATATGTCCCAGTGAAAGCAACAACAGAGCTGATTTGGGTTTTTATATTTTCCATTCATCATTAGCCATTTCAAGCAGTATTATAATTGTTACGCTGTTCTGACTTTTTATCTTTAAGCGAGGCGTAGTGCACTCTTCATAATGAAGCGTGTACAGTACATGCCTCTATTTCCTTACACAAATTTGAAAACATAAAACTGGATATTTAATTTTAATGTTTTTTTATTTGGCCTATACAGGTGTAGAAATAATGACTACATAACAAAGGTTGTGGGACCAGCGGTCTGTAACACCGTAGCTCAGACCTGGTTAATACATGCTGAGGTGGGTGGTTGGTGATGGTTTAGCTGTGGGTCAAAAACCAAACCTCGGGCCAGCACCGGCCAGTCAGCAACGTTCTGAGAATAGCAGCAGGCTGCTGCCGTTACTATGGGAGCAGCATACCACTGGCCACTTTTGGATCTCAGTACTCCTGAAGAGCCAACATCCTGGAGGGGGTGTCCTGGCCAAGGGAACCAAAATGTTCCCCGCTTCAAGAAACACAGTAAAGCCAGCCCTCACTATATACTTGGCATTACAGTAACAGAAACTGAGACCAAAGTCCTCTAAAAGCGATCTTCAGTGCCTGTATGAATGGTGTGAATATGACATGTTGGATAAAGCACTTTGAGTGCTTGAGTAGGTTAGAAAAGCACTATAACCAGTTTATTCACCACATATTGTGTGTGTGCAGGAGAGCAGGTGGAAGCAGGGACAAGAGATTAAACGGCTCTCTTATGGTGGATATAGATAGTTAGTCTGGAAGAAGTGCATGAAAACAGTGCTGTGGATATGAAGAGAGTGTCAGACAGCATCATGAGTGTGAAGCTGGACATCAGGGGTGATGTTGACTGTTTTCAGTGCGTTTGCCCAACAGGTTGGATTTCAGTTGGAAGAGAAAGGAATTTGGAAGTGAGATGGATGAATGGGTGGAGTGTGTCTCCAAGACTGAGAGATTGGTGATTGAAGCAGACTTGAGTGGACTGGTAGATGAAGGTAACACAACTGATGAGGAGGTGTTGGATTGGAGATTAATGCAGGAGGACAGATGGCAGTGGGTTTTGCCAAAAGGATGGAAATAATGGCTGCGGTGAACACATGATTCAAGACGAGGGAGGAACACGGGATGATCTATGAGGAGGAGGATACTACACGTTGGACTACATCCTATGGAGAAGGTGCAATCTGAAAGAGAAGATTGCTAGATGGAGAATGTACCTAGGAAGCATCAGACGTTGGTCTGCAGGATGACTTTGGTCATCAAGAAGTGGAAGCGAGTGAAGGCAGAGGCAAGGAGTAAATGGTGGAAGCTGAGGAAAAATGAACGTTGCAGAGATTTGAGGGAAGAGTTAACAGATGACTGAAGTACAGGATGAAGAAAAAGAGAGAGAACGAGGACATTAGTGAGTAAAAGCCTAATGAAATGTTTCCCTGTGCTTCACAGTGTTAATATATGGAAACCTGTTTCCACAGACTGACTCTTTGAGCATGTTTACTGCTGATTTCAAGTGAAATGTATTCTTCATATTTATCATTTATTTCATGGCATATTATATCTTTAGTGTTGGGTAATGTTGAAATTACATTCACCTTAAGATCGCTTTTACTTTGTAATGGGGTCTCGGGTTTTGTTACCCTAATGTATGAACAAAACGCAAAACTAGGGGCTGGGGTGTCCGCAGGTTTACTGTGACCTCCTCACATCCAGCTGCAGCTCCAGCTTGTTGATCTCTTCGCTAGCTTGGTTGAGGTGCTCCAGCTCCTCCTGGAAACACACGGGAAAGACGACGTTTTAAAAGCAGAATACAACCAGACAGCTGGAAATATTGTTAGACAGGGTTGGGCTTGACCCAGGCGTCGGTCTGTGTCAGGAGCAGGTCGCTGCCATGTCCGGTCGGCGTTTATCGTAGTTTTGTTTGGCTCGGGAAATATGACGCATTTGCTAATGCGAGGAGGGAAACGGTTCTTTAGCAACATACCTGGATTCTTGGGTCCAATTCCTCCTCGTATTCCTCTCCGTTTTTAATCTGGCTGTTAGACTCTCCATCATCCCCACAGTCCGCTCCCACTTGCTTTCTCATCGTGGTTCTGCCGTCTCCGCCTTTCGCCTCTTCTCCCGGCGTCTCCTCCCGCAGACCGGCCGGGTTGGGGCTTCCTGCACGCTTCAGAGTTTCACGCGAGGTCCCAGGCTCCATGGGCCCAATCGTTCGGCTGCTGTGATATTTCTTTCACCTCCCGGTACAATAATGTGTCAGTGTTTAGGGCAGTGGAAGGTCGCCCCGCGTGTACTCATATTTTGAGTACGAGTATGTGTACAAACTAGTGATGGGATTTCCGGCTCTTTTTAGAGAACCGGCTTTTTCGGCTCGACTCACTAAAAAGAGCCGGCTCTTTTGGCTTCGAACCGGCTCTTTAGGTTGTTTTGTTGCTTTAATTAATTAATTATTAACAACAATATAAAATTATGTACAAAAGGAATTACTAATGGGAAAAAAACGTGGTTTTATTTATATATGTTTATATATAAATATATGCGGTGGCCCTTAGAGACAAAGCACGTACAAACTACAAAACACATTTCTAGCATTAACTGAACAAAACAGAACTACCCAGATCACTTAAATTACACAATTGAAAGCAT